GCCATGGCCCGCCAGGAGATCACGCTCAAGCAGATCAGAGTCCGCTTGGCTGGCCTCTACCCGCAGGCCCGCTTCTACACGGACAAAGCTCTCGGTTCGATCTCGTCGCAGTGGAAGCAATTCATCCGAGTCAATATCCAAAGTGCGTCGGCGTCTGCCACCATCGAGTTCTGCTCGGCCAACCTGGCGCACCTCAACTTCAACGAACAGGCTATTCGTGACGCTCTGGTCGGGGCCGGCGCCAGAGAGGACGAGAACATGCAGTGGTGTTCCTAGCAAGTTCTACGCGTCTTGGCAAGGAAGTGCATCGTCGGCGGCTCCGCTGACGCTAGCCACTTGGAATGCCAGAGCACTCTTCTTCCACCCACCTGTGATTCGATCCAAGAAGTTGTCTTAGTTAAAGTCTCTGCTCTCGCGTGGGGCGCTGGCGGCAGCGCAGGAGACGCATGGATCCGAGGTTGCAGTGCGAGATTTTCTCTATCATCTCCACCGTCCTTTCTCGGCGTTTTCTTCGTTCTTCGTCGGCGACGTGAATGATCGCACAGGGGGCGCGACCACCTTCGCCCCCGACTTCCCCCTGACCCATCCGAGGGGCCCACCTGTCATCGAACCGCTTCAGATCGTTCCTGGCAGAATTCTCAGGGTGACTATCGAATTCTCTTCTGGGGTTTGGGCATCTCGCTACAATATCCACAATCGCGATATATCGCAGATAGACCGACAACAACTTGAAGATCATATCCAACTCGACCTCCAGAGGGCCCAGCAGAAACCGCTCTTATGCATGGTCGTGCTCGCTGGTGATTTGAATGTCGCTGGTCGGCCTCCTCGGTCATTAGGGGCCACGCCTGATTTGCGCGGGCAGCCTCTCGCTGATCGGCAGCATCGGCGAGATCAGTTTTGGCGTCGTCTCTTCTCTTGGTTCACGGAGGTGGAGGTGGAGGGGGGTGCTCATTACAATAAGCAGATGAACTCGCTGAGCGCCATCGATAGAGTGTTCGTGTCATCGCCAGGCTGGTCGCCGACGCAATTGAATGCTCCTGCTGAACTTCGCGGTATGCCTGCAATTTTGAGTGGAAAGCGGGTTTCAGATCACGCGGGGGTATCTGTTACGATTTCTCCGAGGCAGAAAACGGACCCAGATGCCATGCCGATTCCCAGGGGCCTCTTCAGGATGCCTGAGTTCCAATAGTATTTGAAGAAAGCGATGGAGGTAGCAGATGTATCGGAGCTGTCTCCACCACTGCTGATTGAGTTTCACAAGAAGCTTCTGCGGTCTGCTGCACAGCACGCTCGGGGTAGTCGCATCGCTAACCACCCTCACTCTCCTCTTACGGGGCTTATCATTCTCAAAACTATATCTCGGGCTCTTTGGCATCAAGATGTTCACCTCGCTAACAGACTTCAGAGAACTCACTGGAAGGGGCGCAAGTGCTTGAAAGTGGATGTGCAACAGACCTCTGTCTCTTTGCTGTCGCCGCACGAGTTGTTCGAGGCCACTAATGCTGCGCAGCAGGCAGCTGCTGATCGAGCCGCGGCTGAGGTACGCCAGTGCAAGCAGCCAGATGCTCCAGACAAAATCCAAGCCAAACATCGCCGTCGTCTTCGGGGCATCGCTCGCCGCGCTAAACTCTGGAGCCCCTTCGACCGCAAGCTCACCATCCAGGGGATGAAGGTTAACGGTTCCAGGGCCACGGACCCAGAGGGGAAACTTCTCGCTCTTGGGCAAGGCTGGGGACAGGTATTCGCTTCGAAACAGATCGACGCCGAGGCTGATGGCGTCTTATCTTGACCGCTTTGCACCACAGGCTGCTCTGCGAGACCTACGGCCGCCTTCGAAGGCGACGTTCGATCGGACCCTCCGGCGCGCCAAGACGAGCGAGCCCGGGCCCGACGGCATCCCGTACCTCGCTTGGGCCATGCACCCTTGTGGCAGCGAGCTTCTCACGCAGGCGACGCGGCGGTGTCTCGAGGGCAATGTGATGCTCTATAGATTCAACAAAGTTCGAGGGGCATTTCTTCCGAAAGGTTCTGAGGAAGGCGACGACGTTGCCATCGACCGATCGGTTTCCCAGACGAGACCACTGGGCTTGAAAGGCTGCGACTGCAAGCTGATGACAGCAGCCTGCACGTGGAAGCTCTCTAGAGCGTTGCCGAGCTGCATTGACCAGTCGCAGAGGGGATTTGTGTGCTCTCGAAATGTGGGAATGAACATTCTAGAACTGGACGTTCAAGCTCGTATCGCATCCATGCCTGAGCGTGCCCCTTCCTACCTCCCCGCCCTCCTCAGTTTTGATTTTGGCCAAGCTTTCCCTTCCCTGGCCCATCAGTGGATTTTTCTCGTCCGCTCTCGTCCTGACCTTCCTCCCCCTCTGCTTCACTTCCCCCGTCTGATCTACACTAACGTCGAATGTGTTGGAACGGCTGGCCCCGTCACTATGCGCCTGTTATACATTATGTCCGGGATCGTCCAAGGGCGCCCCGCCTCTGGCACCTTGTATGCGATCGCATCTCACCCCTTCCTTGCCTTCATTTCGAACGCGCTCGAAGCGAACCGACGAGGGGTCGCCCGAGCGTGCGCAGACGACATTGGCAGTGTGGTTTTCCAGCTTCAGTTCTTGAAAGTTTTGTACCGCATGTTCAAGGCCGCAGAGCGCCTGGCCGCCTTGTTCCTTAAACGCAAAAAGTGTTTTGTGGTCCCGTTGGCTGGCCCGTTTTCCGAAGCGTTAGCCGATAAATACAGAAGCTGGATCCGAACACATATCCCCGAATGGAGCGATTCCGTTGTCGCCCCGTATTTGCTCTATTTAGGGCTGCGTTTGGGGCCTGCAGTGGTGCTCGACCCGCGGGTCGCCCCATGCGCGAATCACGCTGCTCGCGCGGCCGCGATCGCTGCTGCCACTGCCCCGACAGCTGTGAGCGCTGCTCTTTACTCCAAACGTGCCCTCCCCGTGTTGTCGTTCGTGGGCCAGTTCCTCCCCCTCCCCTCCTCTGTCACTCGTAAAGAGCACGCCCAGCTAGCTAGTCTGTACAAGACACCACATTGTGCGATGAGTAGACCTGACTTCTTTAATCTTTCGGCCTGGGGGGGGGGCCCAAGTGCCCGAGCGCCGAGGCTGTCTCCAGAGCCGCCCTCATGAGAGCTGCTTTGGTCACGTTTCGCGGTTGGGAAACTTGGCGCGAGGCGCTCCAGCAGAAGGCCATCGAGCTCCGACCGTACAGGCATGTGCTGCAGGATGGCCCGAGCCCAAGGTTCTGGCAAACTATCAGTTTTGTAGAGCAGCTGGCCGAAGCCGCCCAAGGCTTCCCGAGCTGCCGACGTGTTGCAAGCGCTGGCAAAGATGCTCTCGACCTCGTCGCCCCGCTCCTTGCTGAGTCTCCTGCTGCTGCTCCTCGCTCCTGTCCTCCGAAGATCCAGCGCTTGATCGCGAGCTCTCTCACCGCGTCGTTGTTCCCAGACACGGTTCACGAGACCTTTACAGCTAGCCTCATGAAGTGGTTCCCTGGCCATCGCAGTCGCATCGTTGCCATCGATTGGCCTGCCATCCAGAGTTTTGTGTCGCTCGCTTCAGCCTGCCCTAGCCTCTGCGTGTATTAAACACATGGTCAGGTTCCTGGACCACAGAGTCCAGATTTCAAAATAATGACTGCTTCTGCGTTGTCAAGTGTAACCCTAGAGCGAAGGATGCGACCCCACACTATATCACTTGCCCTGTCTTTGTATCGTGATGTGGCAGAGTGTTACGGCGCCCTCTTCCTGAGTGCCCGATCTCTCGGCTTGGTCTTTATCCCACTCCGTCTTCCTCTGACGCCCTCCACTTCTCTGCTGTCGCCCACCTCCTTTACACTTTTATTGCGCCCTTCGCCCCGCATCTTTCGGACTCGCAGGTGGGCCCCGTCCTCTCACAGGTGAGGATGGCATTTATACGCCTCCAGCGAAGTGGTGGTCGACACTGAGGACTCTGGGCGCCCTGGGTACGCGCCTAGGAGGAGGAGGAGGAGGAGGAGGAGGAGGAGGAGGAGGAGGAATGAGAAAAAGAAGAATAGGAGGAGGAGGAGGAGGAGGAATAAGTGCATCCTTTGTGTGCCCGCTCGAAGAAAGTGCGCCCCGAGAGTGTGATATTCTGACTTGGGACGTGCTCCCGGAAGAGGGAAAAAATGCACCTCGGGCGTGCCCGCTCGAGGAAAATGCGCCCTAGGGGGGGTGGTATTTTGACTCGGGGCCCGTTCCCGGGACGCCCCTGCGGGAGGAGGGGGAAAAGGAGGAGGAGGAGGGGGAGGAGGAGGAGGAGGAGGAGGAGGAGGAGGAGGAGGAGGAGAACGAGGAGAGGGGCAGGAGGAGGAGGAAGCGGAGAAAAAGGAAGAGGAGGAGGACCAGAAGGAGAAGGAAGTGCATCTCGGGCGTGCCCGCTCGAGGAAAGTGCGCCCCGGCGGGCGTCGTATCTGCCCCCGCCCCCCCCCTCTGCAGGGATGGGATCAAAGGGGAAAGGCTTCCCTTCGACTCCACTACGACGTTGTTTATTTTCGCTTTGGATAGCGCGCTTGAGGAGGAGAACCCTGGGAGGGGGAGAACGGACACGACGGAGACGACGAGTCGAACGGAAAAGCCCCTCACACACGCCGACAGGGTCGGCGGATTTTCGGAACATTTTGCAGGGATTATGAATATCCAGGCGAAAGACTCATTTGTCATCATCCTGCTTTCGTCATACTGTGGTCTGGGCCCCCGCAGTCTCAGAGGCTACGGCAGGTTCGCGTCGCGTCGACGCGGTGGCGATCCCAGTGCGGCGTTCAAGTTTGAATGTCGCCAGTGATATGGATTCGGGCCGACATCAAACGACAGGCGTCATCGGGAAACCCCGATCCTGCAATGTTGAGCTGTCCATGCGGTGTCAGCAAACAAAAATCGAGTCGTCACAACACGAGCCTGCCGCACTGCAGATCTGCGCACCTCGCTTGGCAGGCGGAGAAGGATGTCGTGCACAGATGTCGCCGCCTGCCCCAGGCGATGCCGTTTATGTTCGCGACGTGCGGCGTCCTCTGGGGATTCGCCTTGTTGGTGTTTTTTGCCGTCAACGCCGTCGCCATGATGGCCGCGCTCGTGGCCGCTAGCCCGCGGGCGCGCTCCTACGAGGAGGCCGTCGCTTCCGACCTCGGCCCGCGGACCGCTCACTTCCTTGCCGTGAACATCCTGCTTGCCAACGTGGGCACGTGCGCTGCCTACGTGGCGGTGGCCAGCAGCAGGCTCGACGCCGCCGCCGCGTTCGGGGGCCTCTCGAAGCCAGGGCACCTGCGGGCGTCTGCTCTGGCTGCGTGCGGTTTGCTGGTGCTGCCCTTCGCCGCGCCCGCGCAGCTTCGCGGGACGAACGTGACATCGGCGTTGTCGCTGTTCGTGGCGGCTTGCATCATGGCCGCCGCGGCCAGCTCTGTTCAGGGCAAGTAAAGCCGCAGGCATAAGATGAGATTCGACCTCTTCCGCCTCTCCGTCCTCTGGTTCCCCGCACTCCCCCCTTCGTCCCCCCATCACCCACGGGGGTAGGCGAGTCTCACTGCTCCTGTGCTTTTGGCTGCCCTGATCTGCCCTGGGCCACCCGCCACAGGCCCCCTGGCCCCCCGCTTCTGCCGGCTCGGTTCTTCGCGGCGTGCCACTCTGCTGCTATGCGTTCTCGGCCACGTCGCAGGTGTTCCCGCTGTATGCGGAGCTGCCTCCCGAGCTTCGCTCGGCGCGCACCGTCGCAAGAGTAGTATCGATAGCTGCTGTGCTCTCGGGGAGCACGTATGCTCTGATCGGCGTCGCTGTCGCCCACCGCTATGGCTGGAAGACGCCGCCCGACATGCTGGATAGCTTCGGGGAGGACCAGGCGGCCTTCCACGCCTTCGGGGTCGCGTACGCGCTCTCGTGCCTGCTCGCAACGCCCGTCATGCTCTTTCCGGCGCGCCGGAGCCTGAACCACCTGCTCGGGGCCGACGAGGCCGTCGGCGCCCGCGCCCTGGCCCTGGAGTCGGCGCTGCTGGTCGCGCTGTCCCCGGGTGCTGGCTGGAGGCGTCCCTGGCCCGGGGTAGCCCCAGCAGGGCCCAGCTCGATCCGATCGATCCGATTCTGTGTCGACCTCGGCCGGTCCGATACGGTTCGATGTCGACTTTCCAGAGATTCGGTGCTCCCTGGGTACTTGCATGGCTCTGTTGCGCCTCCTGGCGCGGCCGATCCGAGTCGACTTCGATTCCGTGCCGATGCATCCCGATCCGACGCAAAGTCCAATTCGTTCTGGTTTCTTCGTGTCGGAGGATTGCGCCGAATCGCAGATGTGCGGCGCGATCTGAGCCCGTTCATCTCCATCCCGCCGTCGCCGACGCATCGCAGATGTATCGCTGGTGCGGCGGGATCCTCCGACCCCATCTCTGATCTGGCCACACTTGGGAGGCCTCCAGACCCATCCTTGGTCACCCTGAGGGCCTATGGGCCTGCTGAGCGGTGCTCATGGGCGTCAGTGAGCCCTCGCTCTCCTTCATTCGCGAGGATCCCAGAGGGGCCTCCCTGGACAAGCCTGGGGGCCGCCCCGGGCCAGGGCCGCACCCTGGCAGCGCCCGGTGCTCCTGCGCTCTGGCGGCCCCAGCGCACTCCTTCCTGGCGATACTCGACGTCGTGGGCGCTCGGCGGTTCCAAGATGGGGGCCCTGAGCGATGGGGCTCTGAGGACGAGGGGCATCGAACACTGCCGTGAGCCTCTCTCCATCCTCGGGGCCGCATCCCTCAGGGCCCCATCCTTTGAACCGCCGAGGCGCGGCCTCCGCCGTCGCCGTCGACGCGGTGCTGCCAGCGCTGCTCTTTCTGCGGAGCCCGGCAGGCGCCGCGGCTGGCGCCGCGGCCGCGCTCTGCGAGCCGGCCGGCGCACGCGCGGCGCCGGCCGGCCGGTGGCGTCATTGCGTGCTGCTCCTGAGCTGCGGTCGCTGGCGCTCCTGGGGGGGCCACGGCAAGGTGGGTGGGTGGGGCAGGGGAGGAGAAGGTATCGCCACCGCTGCCCATCCCTCGTCGCCACGGCTGGATTAGCTTCGACATCCTGGCCAGGACGCACCCCTGAATAGGTCTGGGGAGTAGCGGCATCAGTACCTTTTGGCCCCTCCCCGCCAGGCGAAAGGGGGGTACCGAGCGGCGAAATCCGAACACTACCCTCGCCGATCCACGATTCTTGCAACCAGATGGGCGGCCGGGGTAGGGTTCGAAATTCGTCGAGCACGTGGCGAAATCAGAAGCGTACCCCCGCCTCCCATCGATTCAGGAGAATCGATGGTTGGTGGGGATAGGGTTCCGATGTCGCTACTTACGTAGGGTATACGCAATCTGGTGCGTGCATCTGGTTTCGGCCCCTTGGCGACTCCCTCGCCGGGTGGCGCCACGAGACCAGTCGAGGTGATTCACCTCGGCTGGTCTCGTGCGCCCCAGGGCAAGGAGGGGGTGGCTAGAGGAGTGGATGGGACCGTCTCTGCCTCTTCTGCATGTCGCTGCTGTCGCCATCCCTCTCGCCCTTTTTTTTGTTTGTTCCTTGCCTCCCTTCCGTCCCCCTCCTATCCCCTCCTGACCCTCCTGCTCGACGTCCACCTCTCGCTCCATCCCTCTTCCTGCTTAAAAACCCCTCCCCGCACCACCAGACGTGTCGGTCGGGCGGGTCCAGCGTTTCGCCTGAGACGCTCTCAATCCTAACGCTTTCGTGCAGTCAAGAGATTTGTGCAAGGGCGGATGGATCCCACATTGTCGCGGTGCTTGTGGCTAGAAGGATGCAGGGCAGTCCTTTTCACAACGGGGCCCTTTCCCGAATGGCTGGTCCGTTCGGCGAGCGCCTTGGGGCGCTCTCGGCAGCGAAAGGGAATGACTGTAGGTGCATGAGCGAAGGGGTCTTGGGACGTCGCAGCATCGTCGACGCATCCTGGGCGCACCCCGAGGCCTCTCTCCCCCTTCAAACAGTCCTGGAGCCCGCTCCACGGGCCTCAGCCCCTCCGCTGCCTGGCCGGGGCCCGTCACGCTGCTTTGGGGCACTCAGTCGGGGGGGACCCAGGCTGCAAGCGGATGCCAGGCCTCTGGAGACAGGAGGGGAAGTTTCGACAGACAACACACAAGATCTCCAGCGTCGTTGGGGCGGAGGCGGAAGGTTTTCACGCTCTTCGGCCTCCCAGACACCGCTTCTGAGCCACGCGATCCAGGACCACACGAATGCAGACCATAAGAAGGGGTTGGGAGTTCCGCAGACCGCGCGCTGAAGAAAGTGCAGCGTCGGACGTTCCTGGGACTACCAGGCATTTGCGGGCACGTGATGAGCTAAACCCTGGTGCACGTGGCTTATCACCAGGGACCGGGCCCAGAATCGGCCTGTCGAGGCTAGGCGGTGGTGGTTTATCTGCTCCTCGTTCTGCTGTTGTCTGCTGCTGGGCGTGGCGCGGCATCCTCCGTGTGGCGAGCTGTGGCTCGGAAGTCTCGTATCTTTGGATGAGCCAGGCAGTGGCTCGAGATAGTGGTTGTTCGGCTGCGGTCCTAGGTTGGTATCGGTCTTTTCCGAATTACCGAATCTCGTCCTTTTCCTTGTTCGCCAGCGAGGCCAGGACGTACAGCAGGCCAGGACGTATAGCACAGTACGCTTTCCATTCGGCCCAGGCTGGGCCCGACCAGATCTGGTGTCTGGTGCCTGCTGCCGTGGCGACGACGGCCCCCCAGGCGGCCCAAGCAGCCAACATGATCAACACAATCCTCTCCCCTCCCCCTACTCCCCCTCTTGCTTCCCCTCCTGCCCCCTCCTTCTCCCCCTTCTCCTCCCCCTTGCTCCTTGTCCTCCTTCTCGTCCTCCTCGTCGTCGTCCTCCTCCCCCTCCTCCCTCGTCCACCTTCGTCCTCCTTGTCCTCTACTCCTCTCCTCCCTCTCCTCCCTCTCCTCCTCCTCCTTCTCCTCCTCCTCCTCCTCCTCCTCCTCCTCCCTTCTCATCCTGATCAACATCATCCCCCCCTCCTTCCTCCGCCCCCCCCTCCGTCCTCCTCCGTCCTCCTCCTCCTCATCATCCTCCAGGTGGCACAAGTGACGCCCTTTCTACTTCCACCTTGCAGATGTCCAATGCACACTCCGTTCAATCGATCTTTCGCAGCGGGCAGTTTCGGTAGGAGTGCCGCTGCGGCTATCCGATGATGTTGCTCCGATTTCTGCACTGGAACCTCCGGTGACCGTCGAGAGGAGATTGTGATGACGACCGCAAGGACTTTGCGCGCATGTGGTTTCGAAGGTATTCAAGTCAGAGCTGTTCCTGGGATGCCTGTTCAGAAGAACAACCTGCACAACACTCTCTTGGTTGAGTCAGGACGGAATCCCGGAGTCTATACGAATAAGTCTGCAAGTAGTAACATGATTCTTATTTGTGGTTTTTGAGGGAAGGACATATTGCTAGACTGGCAGGCTGGAGCTGATTTTGCAGGGCGAGATTTTGATTTCAGAATGAAGCGATCAGGCCCTGTCGGCATTGTTGCTTGTCTTCAGTTTCCACCCCATCCAAGAGGTAGGGCAGGGCGCCCGATCTACTTCGCGACCGACATTCGCTTGGCATCTCGCGCTCATCCCGCGATATGCCACTCATCAGCACAGACTTATCCAGATGGTGGATAGGTTTGTCCAGATGGTGGATAGGTCGTTTGTGATACTTTTGTTTCACCTTCGCGGTTGGTTACCACTGACATCGGCTAGAAGGAGCTGGTCAGCAAGTGTGCGAGCTCATGGAAGAGTTTGCTTTGTGTGTCTGGGGAGTTCGGGATTGGATTGATGACGCCTTGTTTGGCCAGGACGGTATTTCGAGCAGGGTGGACTACTTCTTCGGTCTCACTGTTGCTCAGGGACTTGTTCGCACAGCTGGGCCGCCCAGGCCAGCGATTACGGGGAACTGAGTCACCCTACCGCGCTGTTTCTGCCCTCTGGGGACCTGATCCTAGCGTGCGTGCATCAGCCCCTGGGCCCAGGTGGCATGTTCGCTCTCTGTTGGCATGTTCTGCGTTCCGATGGCGTGCGCATGCCTGTTGCCTTCGTGCACCTTCAGCGCAATAGGGGGTTTGTGCCACGCTGATATCGGCGAGAAACGAGCATGGGCGAGTTCAGAATCCGAGCAGGGGCGGATCTGCGGGCACTTCTTTGCCCGTACCCACGGTTCGCTTTCCATTCATTGGCGCGGAGTACGTATTTTCCGCGCGCCGCCCCTCCGTTTCGTCCCCTGGAGATCACGACTTGCTCTGAAGCATGTTTCGGTTTTCGAGTTCAAGTAAACCGCCCAGGAAACCAATGGATGCCAAGCGGGAATCGCGGTGGCAAGTGTGATTCATACATTTTTCGCGCCCCACTTGAGTCACCACGGCGGCTGGGAGCGCGACAGACAGCCCCTCAGCGTGTTCGGCGTGTCGCTGTGGTCAGCAGCGACTGCCTCGGCGTGCGTCGGAGGCTCGGCGCCCAGCCAGTCACTGGCAGAGCCTGGTGCCACTGGTGCCAGATGATCGTTTGCACTGGCAGAGCCTGGTGCCACTGGCGGCACGTCCTGGAGTGCTCCTCAGTGAGCTCAAGTAATGATGATGCCGGACGCTCGAGCCTCGCAGTCCGCCGCGATCGCGCTCAGGTTCCGACAGAAATGAATTGATGGATTGGGTTGGGTGGATTGGATTGGATGGGATAAGATGGACGGGATAAGATAAGATGGTTGGATTGGAAGAAATGGATTTGATGAGATAAGATGGATTGGATTGGTCCGCCGCAGGCGCACAAACACATGAATTGATGGATTGGGTTGGATTGGTTGGATTGGGTGGGATAGGATAAGATGGGACAACATGGGTTGGATAATATAAGATGGGTTTGATTGGACAATATGCACTGGAGATAATAAGCTGGATTGGATAAGAACGCCCGCCGCAGGCGCCGAAAAAAATGAATTGATAGATTGGGTTGGCTGGATGGGATTGGATGGGATAAGACGGATTCGATAAATACGATGGGTTGGATTGGAAAACGTTGATTGGATGAGACAAGATGGATTGGATTGGCCCGCCGCAGGCGCAGAAACAAATGAATTGATGGATTGGGTTGGGTGGATCGGATTGGGTGGGGTAAGATAAGATGGGACAATATGGGTTGGATAAGATAAGATGGATTGGATTGGACCAGATGGATTGGATCAGATAAGCTGGGTTGGATAAGAAAGCCCGCCGCAGGCTCCGACAAACATGCATTATGACATTAGCGACATGCGTTAGCGCCGGGACGCCCGGGACACCCGGGACACCCGGGACACCGCCCGGCCCAATTGGGACACCTCCCGGCCACCGGCGGACGGGAAACGGATTTTCGCTCCTACTGACACCAAGGACACCCGGGACACCGCCCGGCCCAACTGGGACACTTCCCAGCCGCCGGCGGACGGGAACGGACTTTCGTTCCTATTTCGGCCTAGCTACAGGAGGATCACGCGCAGCTTCGCCTCGCCCGCACGCGCTACACGAACGCGAAACCGAAACCGATTTCCCGGTGGGGGGTCTCCGTTTCATTGCGATCTCACCCCCAGACCTCCGATTTTTTGCCTCCAGCCGCCAGCCTGTGTTGCGTATTTTGATTTGCGCGAGGAAAAAATATCAGGAAAAGGTTGGGTTCTGAGCTTCCGAGGTGTAGGTCTTCTCGGTGTCGCAGACGCGGTCGATCAATCGTAAAGGCCGCGAATCTCCAAATGCACCACGGTGGCGGGTTAGCTCCGTCAGCTCCCCCGCCCCGCCTCGGGCGGGGCCGATTTGGCGAGATCGGTTGACCTCCGTGTCCTTTCATTGACAGCCGCATGGTACAGTTCATGATAGAGGAGGGCCAGAAGTTCAATGCGGACCCCCAGCAACAGCAACAACAGGAATCCTAGAACGCAGCCGAGAAGGATATGCATACCCCGTATCTTCGAGCGGTCGCGGCCATGATCTGGGGCGCAGCGCGCGATGGGGGGGGCGCGTTGCTCCAGGGGCAGGTGGTAGCAGCCGAATGCTGGGAATTTGTCGCGTGCCAGGCGGAGGGCCCGATCGCGTGGAGCGAGGCAGCGAGGTTTTGTCGGGTCAAACGCCTAGCGTGACGAGGTTTGGCGGCAAACATTTGGTCAGAGTTCATTTAGATTTTTTGTTGGAGTCCAGCACCGTCGTGAACCCGCTCGTGTCGGCCAAGGGGGGCGGGGCCGTCGGGGCCGCCGTGAACGGGGCGCGGGCGAGGGAAGTTCAGCGTCTTCTGGATTTGCGCAAGTCGGCTGTTCTTTTGGGCCGTCTGGTGGCGCGATTGGTGAGAAGCTAGGGGGCACAGCTTCTGAGGGCTGGTTCTCTTCAGCGAGGAAGTTCGTCGGAGAACCACTGGCCAGGAGAGTAGCACTGGGCATCGTTTTTCAACGCCCTTGGCGACCGTGGGCCTCGTGGCCCCGGCGCCGTCTCGACTGGTGCCCCCGCTCCCGCGTTTTTCCCTGCGGCCCGAAAAGCGCGCCCAGCAATTCAGCGAACCTCTTCCAGTTTTTTTAGGCAGAGGACTCAGGAGTCAGCGCCGGGGGTGGCAGCCGCAGGCCGCGCGCCGCTGGGCCCGCCGCCAGGCCGACCCCCTCGCCCGATGCGGTCGCGGGGTCGCGCGGTGGTTTCCTGTTCCAGTCCGCCCGCCCGACGAACCCAGGCGTTCGTGTTTCTTCGTTGTCAGGTGCGTCCCAGGGTTTTACTTTTTGTTTCCTCATCATATACTTGTTATTGCATACCGTGTTGTAGCATAGTACATTGCCACGCAACATCTCATCCCACCTTATCCCATATCGCGTTTGTTTATCTGGCGTGCCTTACTCTTACATTGCTGTATGTATGCCATAATGTCGTGGGCGTTCTTATCTGTGGTATGATCGCATGCAATATTACCTTATCGTTTCCTTTTCATGTCGTTACCTTGTATATTGTTAGGTTGGTTCCCGTCCTGTTGTGTCATGGTCTGCCCCATATGCTTTGCACTTGCAATCTGTAAGCGTGTCCCATGCTGCCATGCATGAATTTATGTTATCGCAGCTTAGCTTACAGTGTAATTGTCACCGTGTGATTGTCACCAAACACGCATTGGTTCTCATATCTCATATTACATTCAAACAAGTGTTTTATCATGTCACGCTCTATCCTACCGCATCTTTGTGCATCATAGTTGCATTTTGCTGTTGACTGGCGTAAGCCATATCATGCGATATATATATATGTATATATATATACACATATATACATATATATATGTATTACTATGCCATTCCGTCGTGATTCTGTCATCATATATCCGTTTGTCATGTTTTCCCCATGATATGCGATCGTATGCTAGTGCGCCTCGCATCTTTGATTCAGGTTTTTCGTATCTGTTGAACCGCACCACTTTTCTACATGATGCTGTATTGCCTTGAATTGTCATGTTTTTTTTGTTTTGTCCGCATCTCCTCTACCATCGTAACTCATCCACTATGTTGTTGTAGTTACTTGTGTCCCTGCATCATGTTTCTTCATATCTAGCATAATGTTGTTATATGATGTCTCAATTTGTATTACCATACGTCATCACATCCCATCACATAAAACCGGGTCGTTCCCTGTATCATCATATCATAACGTAATATCGTAGTTGATATTCTTCTTGCTTCATCATAGTTCTGCAACCTGTAATATCGTTTAACATCTTATTCAGCCCGTTCTCAGTTTTTGATATTTTTCTTGTTCCACAGTCGAACAGTTATTGTGCTTGCCGAACTGGCATGCCAACATAAATCCTATCTGGTAATATATAGATACAACTTTATGTGTACATGTATATTATCACATTGACATGCATACACGTGTACATGTATACATATATAGACGTATGTTCGTATATTGTCATGGGTAATATGACAATACACTGCATTATGTTATGTTCCTTCTTGTCACGCCATATGTTTTCTCGTAGTTGCGTAATTGGTAATGCCTCATAGTACCTTGTCATGCCCTAGTATGTCCTACCTTTGCTTGTTAGCTCAGGATGCACTATCTTGCTTTACCACATTATGTTACAACTTTGTTTTCTCGTATGGTTGCGTATTCCATCTTATCGCATCATACCCCATTGCATCTAAGCCTCCATACCTTTCATTATACCGCGTTTCCGTATTATATCGTACGCCAGTTTATCCCATGTTTCCATATCGTTTTTGATCATGCCATTTATTTTCGTTCCATATCATATAATATATTTCCCTCCTAACCTTCCTTTTTTCCTCTGTCCGTCTTCGTTCCTTTCCTCCCTCCCTCCCTCTCCCTTCTTTCGTTTTCTTGGTTGGTGCCGCCCAAGCCGATGCGCGCCGTAGCCCCCCCGGGCGGGCGATTGACCGCGGCCCCCGATGGCGGTGGACGTTTCCGCGGGCGTGCTGTCGCTCGTTGCCTGCGCCCATGCGGACCTCGGGCGGTGACGGGCGCCGGCCCGAGGGGGAAAGTCCACCTCCTCCTCCTCCATTCCTTTTCCTTATGAATAACTCCTCCCTGTCGCACCCCGAAGCCAGTCCAAAGGGCGGGTCATTCGTTTCGCTTCAGACTTCCTCACATTGTCTGATGCTGATGCTTCGAACTTGCAAACGCTTCACGGATGGGGGGCGGTCCGTTTTCAAAATGTTGCTCTCGTTTCGTTGCGCGCATATGCCTTATAGAAAAGTTTGCACGAGGTTTGCAGATGAACGCCGGTCTGTTTAAAAAAATAGTTTTCGCTTTCGCGCCGCGCGCATTCGTTGTTCACATTTGCACGAATTTGTACGGATGGAGTTTTTTTCAACATGTGGTTCCCGTTTTTGCGCGGCGCGCATTTGTCGTAAACGTTCGTAAGGACTTCAGATTGGGAGGGTGGTTCCTTTCCAAAATGGGGTTCTCGTTCCAGCGCCGCGCGCATTCGTCGCAGACAAGTGCAAGTGGTTCTCGGATGGAGGCGGGCTCCCATGGCGCAATTACAGCAGTTTCAATGCTCCAATTGCCAACGTCACAGAAATTGTGTTTTGGCACAGGGCGCAGCGGCCACATTGATTTGCTGTGTTCAAGTCCCAGGAATGGCGTTATGGCGCAATCCCAGATTTTCAAATGGTTGTCTTCCAACGGGGCACTTTCCCAAGCGACAATGATTCCGCGTAGGGGCCTACAAGAAGGGAGGTCTGAGGGAGGGTGCATTGCAATATCGTTCATCCGCCCTGGGTTTGCATTCGTTTTCGTCCTCCTCCTCCTCTTGTCTCCTCCTCTTCCTCCTCCTCCACCACCTCCTCCACCCAGTCGTTTTGGCCCCGCGGCACGTGGCGCAGAGTGTTGCCGCTCACTCCTGGGCCGCAGTTTGGCGGAGGCAGTCCGCCACCTTGGCATCAGGCGCCGTCTCCTTCGAGGGTTGTGGCTTGCCTCTTCCGCAGCCATCCAGGGGGTGAACGGCCGAAGTCAAGGTTCGTTGCAGATCGGTTTCATGTCAGAGGTGGGCATGGACATGCAAGTAGGCTTTGCATCGCAATGCGTGTCCGCGCGGCTCCGAACCTGCCGCATGCGGAGTTGTCCAAAGATGACGGCAGCGGGAAGAAGGACAATGGTGCGGGCAAGAGGTGGGGCCAGGGCACCTCGGGGGATTTTCTTCCCAATTCGGGGCGCTCACCAAGGCCCGGTCCGACTCGGAGTCGGCCGAGGCCCTCGCAGCCCAGGCGCTGCCCCCTGGCGTCAGCGGCGGAGGCAGTGTCGCAGGCAGCCGCCAAGTCACTGGAGTAATCGGAGCGTGGACGTGCTGCACTTTTTTGAAAGCCAGGGCATCGAAATCGCAGCCGCCGCCTGCTGAGGGGGTGAAGGCTCCGACCATTGATTTGACTGCGCTGCTCACGTCCAATGTTTTGGATGAGTGCTTGGGTTTGATCGGAATTTGTGCGCTGGTTTTGACGGCGCGGCACCGAGGAGGTCGAGAGGCGCAGGGTTGCAGTCAAGCGGGCGCTGTTCGCTACGACGCAGGTATCGTTCGGGCACCTCCAGGAGAATTTCCAGGGGCATCTTGAATCGTTGGCAGCGCTTCGGGCCAAGACTGTCGAGAAACGCCGTGTCTCTGCGCCTGGGCGCCTGGTGCAGCAGCAGGAGCAGGAGGTGATGCGCCAGCTGATGAGGGCTTCCACCGCCTGGGGGTAGCCAGCCATCGGCCGCGCCACCTGCTCCGCAGGTGGGGTGGGGCGGGGTGGGGAGGGGGGGTTGGGGTGAAGGGGGGGGCGCCCCGGGGGTCGGGCGCGGCGGGGAAGGCCAGGTTGGGCGCCATCGCCGCCAAGCCGGAGGCGGGCGCGGAGGCCATGCTGGCGGCGGCCCGCGTAAAGGTTTCCGCCCACTCGGGCCTCCAGTTCCCAGGCTCCTCTCGGCCTTGGTGGACCATCATGCGACGGGGGCCGGGGGGTCAGCCCCAATCCGCCGAGTGCCCGTTCAAGATCGGCTGCTTCTCTGCTCGAGGGGCAGCCGCTGCGCAAGACTGTTGGCCCCGTCGCGTCTACGTCGTCGGGGCGCCCGGGCCCAGTGAAACAGGGGGCTGCCCCGCGGCGCGCGCCCCCAGGCCGTGGGCGCGGGCCCAGCTCCGCGAGCGTTGCCAGGGCCCCGTGGGGTGGAATCGCTGGCGGGTCTGAGGCGCCGCGCGCAGGTTCAGGAGTCTGGGGCGCCCTCGGCTCTGCCCCGCAGGCGCTCGCTTGGGGGCGCGCGGAGGACGCTGGCGGGCATGCCTCGTCATATAATTCGGCCAGAGGGTCCACGACGACAATGCACGTTCGTAATCTTGGGGGTTTGGGGCCCGCTGCGAACTTCCTCGCCCGGCAGAACGTTGGCAGACATCATCATTACACTTGAAACGCATGTGTTGCCGACGGGCTCGAACACCATTCGCCGTGTGTGGCGCGGGGCAGGATATGCTGGCAGTCGTCTTGCAGCACATGCCATTCCCTCCGCCGCCAATGCGGGGGGGATCCACCATGGGAATCGGCAAGAGATTCAAGGCGGCCTCACCGCGTCGCGTCGCGTCGCATCGCCGCGACGCGACCCAGTTGGGTCAAGGCAGCTCGAGCAGACGAACCAAACTGGGATCGATTGCTTGAGTTTGGCGCCGCGACGTTCCTGGACACTGCAGCCCTGGGCTCACGAGAATGGACGCCCCACGGTCGCCTTTATGATCGCCCCATAAGGTCGCCCAAAACCTAAATTGCAAACCATGCGGTCGCCAAAAAAGGTCGCCCAACAACAATATGGCATCCCATATGGTCGCCCAAAGGGCGCCAGGAAATGGAGGAAGTAAGAATGGCATCCCCAATGGTGGCCCAAAATGTCGCCCAGACATTGGTTACCATCTCATGCGGTCGACCGAACAGGAATTCAACATCGCTCGGAAAACGCAGGGCGGTTCCGGCTTCCGCGTGCGCGTTGCATAATGCAGCCTAGCATTGCCCGGCTCAAGAGGTCCGGAAGGTGGAAGTCCAGCGCTTTCCACGCGCACCTCCGGGAGGCACGCGCACCTCCAGGAGGCCCGCGAGCCGCAGAAGGGCTCGGCGGAGGCCATGTCCGCGCACAGCTTCCAGCTTACATCGGGAGTGTCAACAAGAAGAAGGAGGACGAGGGAAGCGAGGGTACCTGCGGGGCGCAGTTCTCTAAGGCAACCCCCGAGGAGTTTCTCCCGGGAGGTCGCTGGGGCGGCCGGATCCCCAAGCAGGTTTGACCAATGTGGAGGACATGTGGACTCCACTAGAGAGTGCGACCTCTCCAGCGCATCTTGCGCTCGGCTTGGGATTTCGGGGCGGCCCGGCTCCTCCTGCCAGCCCGCGGGCGTTGCTCGCGGCATGGATGGTGGCGAGGTGGCGCCGTTTCGCCCTAGGGCCCCTCCGCATGCCGGCGGGGCAACGGACCGGCCCACGAGCGGTTGTCGACCCCGACCGCGCGGGGCAGATGGAAGGCCCGTGGCTTGGGGGAATGGCGTTGGCGCTTGGCCTGCGGCTGAACCCTTGCATTTCGCCGCAAAAAAGGTCATCCCTCGCCCCCCCCCTGTTCCCACTGTGCGGGTAAGCATGGAAGGAACTCCGTTTGTGTTATCTTTCAGGATTTCCCGCAGCAGGCGCGTCTCTCTCTCTCTCTCTCTCTCTCTCTCTCTTTCTTTCTTTCTCTCTTCCTCCCTCTCTAGCCGCATCGGCTGGAGCGGCGGTTTTCCCCTTCCCACTCTGCACTTGTTCGCGCCTGTGTCAATGCGCGCCAGGGGCGCTTGGCTTGCGGCTGAACCCGTGCTTCTCGCCACAAAGGGCCCCCCTCGCCCCCCCTGCTCCCATTGCGCGGGGTGGCGTGGATGGAAATCCAAAGAATTTGCTCGGCGAAGGACCCAGCCATATTCATCTGCGAGTAACGTAGGATATCGCTTTCTCATCATAGGCAGCGCGCCGCGAGAGGGACGGAAGGAACACGGGGCAACGGTGATGGAATCCCCGAAACGTGTGCGGGGCGTGCCGGAGTGGGGCAGGGGGCGCATGCGGGCGCTGCCGCTGGGCCCCCCGGCAGAGCTCCCTGTTGGCCGCGAGACATGTGAGGGGTGAGCCAAAATATACAGAAAGGCATGCGAACCCCTTCGGTTGAGCTCTATGTGGGGCCGCGAGGCGCGTAACGGGTGTGCCAGAATTGAGGCGACGCCGCCATGCGAAGCCTGCTACTGAGGCCTGGAGTGGAGCTCCCTATGAGGCCACGGAGCGCGCGGGGCGTGTGCCGAAATAGGGCGGGGCCGCCAGGCGAACCCTGCCACTGGGGCCTTCGGTGGAGTCCCCCATGGGGCCACGATTCGCGTGAGGGGTGTGCCGCAATGGGGCGGGGCCGCAATGCGAACCATGCCACTGGGGCCTTCGATGGAGCCTCCCATGGGGCCACGAAGCGTGTGAGGGGTGTGCCGCAATGGGGCGGGGCCGCCGTGCGAACTTTCCCACGGGGGCCTTGGGTGGAGCTCCCTATGGGGCCACGGAGCGCGTGGGCGGTGTGCCGAAATTGGGCGGGGCCGCCATGCGAACCCCGCTACTGGGGCCTTCGGTGGAGTCCCCCATGGGGCCACGATTCGTGTGAGGGGTGTGCCGCAATGGGGCGGGGCCGCATGCGAAGTTTGACACTGGGGCCTCCTGCGGAGCTCCCTATGGGGCCACGAAACGTGTGAAGGGTGTGCCGACATTGACCGGGGCCGCCATGCGAACCTTGCCAATGGAGCCTTCGTTGGAGCTCCCCATGGGGCCACGAACCGTGTGAGGAGTGCGCCGAAATGAGGGTGGAGCTGCATGCGGCCCCTGCCACTGAGGCCTTCGGTGGAGCTCCCTATGGGGCCACGAAGCGCGTGAGGGGTGCGCCGGAATGAGGGCGGAACTGCATGTGAACATTGCCACTGGAACATCTGGTTCAATTTCCTATGGGGCCACGAACCGCGTTTTTGTGGAGCTCCCTATGGGGCCACGAAACGTGTGAGAGGGGCACCGAGATGGGGGCGGAATTGCATGCGAGCCCTGCCGGTTTGGCCTTCGGTGGAGCTCCCTGTGGGTCCACGAACCGTGTGAGGGGTGCGTCGAAATGAAGGTGGAACTACATGCGGACCCTGCCATTGGGGCCCTCGGCGGAGCTCCCTATGAGGCCACGAACCGTGTGAGGGGTGCCGAATAATGGTAGAACTGCATGCGACCCCTGCCACTGAATTCGGTGGAGCTCCCTATGGGGCCACGAACCGCGTGACCCCGCCCCCACAGTACGGCGCTAGCGAAAGCGCGGCCTGCTGCAAGGCCGCGGGACGTGCCAGCCGCGAAGCGGTCGGTCAGAAGCGGGCCCTCCGAAGACGACGATGATGATGCCAGCTGCGCAGCTCTCTTTTTGCTGCTGCGCTGGCCGCGCGCTCCCGCCGGCGCTGTCGGCGCCAGGCGGACCCCTCCTTCCGCCACGCGAAGCGGACCTCGCCGCGGCGCCTTCAGACACCGAGGCAAAGCCCAGGGTGGGCGGGCAAAAGAAAGCCCGTTGGGGCCCTGGGAGGGCTTTGAGCCCCGAAGGCTTGAGCGGCAGAGAGGGAGAGAGAGGAGCAAGCAGAGGCAAGGCCAGGGAGAGACAGGAAACCCAAGCCGACTGGGGAGGGCGGGGTCCAACCTTTTAGGACAAACAACTAAGTCCCCGCCCCCGCAGTACGGCGCTAGCGAAAGCGCGGCCTGCTGTAAGGCCGCGGGACGTGCCAGCCGCGAAGCGGTCAGAAGGGGGCCCTCAGAAGACGATGATGATGATGATGATGCCAGCTGCGCAGCTCTCTTTTTGCTGCTGCGCTGGCCGCACGCTCCCGCCGGCGCTGTCGGCGCAAGGCGGACCCCTCCTTCCGCCACGCGAAGCGGGCCTCGCCGCCTTTGTTCTAGCGGTACTGGCGTATGCTGCCAGTGACGCTGCACGCTGGTCTGGCGGGCCTTGCACGTCAGCAATGCTGTGTGGGCGCCGTGGGTGGCGCCGTCAAAATTGGGTGCCGGGCTTTGTGCAGCCGGCACCATCTAGACTCTGGGTCGCGCACAGCCGGGCGCAGGCGCCGGCGCGCTCGCGGGGCCCAACTGGCCCTCCTGCTGGCCGATCGCCGCCAGGCAGCTGATGCCGGCGCGCACGGCTGTCCTTCGTGAGGCTAGGCCGGGGCTCACGCTGGCGCACTGATTGCCGGCGGAGCCCGACCTCGGGCCAGGGCCCGAACTCGCCGCGGGTGGCGCCTGGCTGATGCCGGCGCCACGGTGCCCGCCGTGCGCGCTGCGGCCTCGCAGTTCCCCCGGCCCCCCGCCCCCCCCTAGGTGTTCGGGGCGGGCAGGGTCCGGCCCCTGACAGAGAGGGTTTCCCGGGCCAGCGCTGGCGTGCGGGCCCGTGCCCCGCGCTTGAATTCTGGTGCCGCGGGCTGCGCTGGGCTGTCAGGCCGTCAGCTGCCGCGACCTGTGCTGGCCGCAGTGCGCCTGGCACGACCAGGCTCGACGAGGGGGGCCGGCGCGCCAGGCGGGCCCAGCATGGCCCCTGTTCGGCAATTGCAGAGGGCGCCCACAGTATCCCAAGCACTAGTGGAGCCCGAAGCGGGCAAGCCCGCGCGCGCATGCCAGCGCGAGAGTATTGGCCAGTGCTGGAGGCACGGGCTGGGGATGTCCTGCGGACGCGCGGCTGGTATGCCAGCGGCGCGGGTGGTGGTTGAGTTGCAGCATCCAAGCGCGCGGCGGTCAGGCCGGCGGCTTGGGCTGGGCGCGCGCCAGGTGTACCTGCACCGGCGGCGCCCGCCGCGGCCCCTCGTCATGGGCTCTCGCGCCTGGCGCTCGGCGCCGGCGGCGGCCCTGGCGGGGGCGCTGTCCTTCGCCGGGTTGGTCAGCGAGGAGGTGTCCCTGGCCATCTTGCTGGAGACGCCCTTCATCGGCTCGTGCGACCCCCACAGGTAGCCGTGGAACGCGTCTGACTGCCAGCGCCCGAACCGGCGCACCCAGGAGAGGTCTTCTGCCACGTGGTACATCGCGGTCGCTCCGCCGACCCTCCAGGAGCGGCTGCCGATCTCCTCCCTGGAGACGGCGGCCAGCCCCGCGACTGTCAGGAAGTGCTGCACCTCGGCCCTGCGAATCGGGGTACCTGACGCCCAGCGGAAAATGGGCAGCCGTTCTTCGGTGCCCTTTATCCGCTGGGGATGGTGAGCCTGGAGCCACTCCATCGCCGCGATCGGGCAGAGCGTCGTGCCGGCGCGGTAGTGGTTCCTCACCGTCCCGACGTTGAGCTGGTCCGTCTTGCTGCCCTTGATGTAGATCACCATCTCGTTGGCGTCCCGGAAGCTGGGCACGCGTTTGCCGGCCTTCCTGGGCTCCGCGTCCTCCCCGTGCAGTACGCGCTCGAAGGACCGCGAGCGCCCGTCCTGGAGGACGTACTCTGAGGCCCGCAGGAGGAAGAAGAACGCCGTCACGATCGCCGCCCAGATGACCACTGTGTCCTCCTCGGGGAGCTTGGCCTCCTGCTGGGGGAATCCGCGGAGCCACTCGAGCATGGCTGGGGTGACGGGTTTCTTCCGCTTGGTCTCGGGTCCTTGCCAGCGTTTGAGCCCCGCCAGGGTGCTCCAAAGGCGACCCCTGCGGAGCAGGGGGTCTGAGTAGCCAGCCACCAGGTGAGCGTAGCGCACCGCAATGAGCTTCTGCTTGATGGTCCCTTCCGTCCTCCCGACGACCCGCGCGAGAAGGACGGCGAAGTTGATGAGCGCCTCCTCATCGGCTAGGCGTTCCTCGCGGTCGCGCCCCGGGAGCCAAGGGCTAAGCCCCTGCGCCTGGCGCGCGGCTACCCAGAGCCGCCATCCCCCCTCGTAGCCCGCTCTCGTGCCTTCGCTGAGTTTTTGCAGCATGGCCTCCATCTTCTGCTGCGCGAACCAGCTGGCGTAGCCGGCCCCGCCTGGCTCAGCTCGGCCGGCGGGGGCGAGCTCCTTCCCGGGGTTGTTGCTCTTCCTCGCGATGCCCGGCGCCTGCGGCTTCACCAGGTTGGCAGCCGGCGTCTTCTTTGCTCGTCGAGGGCTCTTCTTGCGCGGGCTCTTCGAGCGGGTCACTCGCTTGCCCAGCTTAACCGCCTCTGCGGCTGGGGCCTCGCGAGGTCCAATGATCGCGTCCTCGTCGATCTCCCGGAAGCGGATCGCCTGGGCACGCCGGCGATTCTTGTGCATCTTGTCGGTGAGTGCGCCGCCTGCCTTTGCCTCGCCCTCCGCCGCCAGCGCGAGCGTGGGTCGATCCGGCGCTTGCGCCCAAGCACGGACACAGCGCTCGGTGGCCTCCCACGCGGCCTGCTCTTCTGGGTCATGGCATACTCCAGCGAGCTGCGTGCTGGCGCTGCTGAGGGCCTCCGCCACTGCGCCCAGCACCGCCTCTGCGGTCCTCGGTGGGAGGGCTCTGGCTGCGCCCTTCAGGAGCTCATCCTCCGTGGAGCCCTGGGCCTGCAGGCTGGCCCACTCGTCGTCGGCCCCCCCTTGCGCCCTCCAAACCTCTTGGGGTGTCAAGGCTCGGACCGTGCCTTTGCCTCCCCCGGTGACCCGGTGGAGCGCGGCACCTGGGCCTTGGGGCCCTGTCCTGTCCCGGGCCACCGGGCGGTGCCCACGGGCCCCCATTCGCTGTAAATCAGGTGCTTCACCCCGTCCTTCTTGAGGTGGCCGACCGGCTTGAGGAGGAGAGGGTCGCTGGTGGACTGGACGCGGGGGTCCCACGACACCTCGCCTTGCTGGTCGAGCCGAAGGTGGTCTTTTCCTCTGTCCAAACATGGCT